GAGTCCTAATTCTCCTTACAAGAGGCTTCCCGGTGAGAAGTCACTGTCTGGTGCTATGCAAACACCCTCAACTCCACCCAGCTCCAGGACCACTCTGAACTTACAGCCAGCTACAGAGGGAAACGAGCAGAATTTGCCACCATCTCCTGAGCTTGCCCTGCTCCCTCCCACGTCGCCAGGGGACCAGCAGCGCTGTGAGAAGTGTGGCCAGCTTGTCCTGGTGTGGGAGTTCCCAGAGCACATGGACTACCACTTTGCTCTGGAGCTGCAAAACTCCTTCCTGGAGCCCAGTGCTCCCACAGCTCCAGCAGCAGCTCCCAGCCCAAAGGCTGCAGCTTCCAGGTCTCCCACCAAGGCAAAGAACAAGCCCAAGACTCCAGCAGGATCTAGTGCAAAACGACCCAGAGAAGGTGTGACAAGAACTTTAGATTTTTTCTTTAAGCGCTTACCTCCTTAACTCCCAGGCATGCTGGGAGTTTTTAGATAATCAGTGTTTTTAAAGCATCAGTGTTTTTAAAGAAAGCATCAGTGTTTTTAAATGCGGTTAAAAGTTTTTATACTGCCTGTCAGGTTTTAATGCAGAGAAGTCTAATAAATTATCTCTACCCAAGAACTGGAACTTGTGAATTGTGTGTGACGCTGGGTGTACCCAGCTTAGCTGGTGACAGCTAGCTTGCCTCTGCCTGCTCAGTGCTACCAGAAGCTGCATCATACTCTCCCCTACACTTCCTGCCATGGGTATTTCCATAGCATCACTGCTCGGTAATTCTGTTCTTACAGCTTTACGTTCCTCCTGTAAAAGCAGGCAATGTAAGCACAGTCACTTATCCCAGGGAAGCCCCAGCCAAGTCTCTAGGCTCAAACCCCTGCAGGCCTTGCCCTTACTGCATAACCTATATTTGGTAGCTTAGGCCTGTCGTTCCTTCTCCCCTCTCCACCTGGAAGACACTGATTTTTATTCCCTCCTCATCAATATTTTTCTTATAGATGGTTTGTCAATTCCCTCTGTGTAGCAATCCATTGTGTGATACTCATCACCAGCTCCGGAGCACACAAGAAAGACTGCTCCTGTCAAATAAGATTTGAGGAAGCTGTGGAGCCACACAAGCATACTTTTTGGTGTGCTTTTGAAATCTCAGCACCAGTTCCTGATAATTGCTATTGACACATAAACAGCCTACTGCTAGAGTCCTCGTGGAAGGAAGGGGAATCATGTCACAGTCACACAGCCCTCTGTGAAAGCTTTCCTCTATCACATGAAAGAGCGTATAACCACATTTTTCCTTTGTCCCAGAGACTGGGTGATACTACATGCAACTTTATGACAGGTACCTGTTTTGATCATACTCTGCCAAATGACTTGTTCAGCTCTCTCGGCCACAGTTCACACCAGAGTGACAGCCCCAGTGCTCCACAAATTACAACAGAGCCAACAAAGCAGAATATCATGGAAGGAACAAGCAGGCACTGAGAGAGGGTGAGACCAGCTCCAGGGCAAGAGATGTGCTTGTCCTCAGCAGCCCAGCAGGGCTCAGCTCTGTGCTCTATTGCTAGCTGCCTGGAGCCCGCCAGCCTCTTCCAGAAGCGTTGCTGCCAAGAATTTGAACCCAGCTCTTAGGGCAGGGGGAAGGAACATGCCACGTCAAGGCAGCACTGGGTGGGGTTTGGAAACACTTTGCAGAGAGTTTCATCAGCTGCAGGGTTCCCCTCCCCGAGCAGTAGATAATGACGCACAGTGCAGCTGTATTTGCATGTGCTGTTTCCCTTTCTTTTCTGAACTGCACCATCCTACTTGTAGCTGTTGAGCTGTTCTCCCTCCTGCAGACGGCCTGCGCTGGAAAGCTGCTACACTGCTGTCAGTGGAGGGGGCGTCTAAAACTTGACAACACAGTTGCGAGATTTCAGGAAGCACAAGCAGCTCATTCTGGTGCGTGCAGCTCTGCTGGTAATCAGCAGAGGAGTCCCTTTCTTTTCTGAACTGCACCATGCTACTTGTAGCTGTTGAGCTGCTCTCCCTCCTGCAGACGGCCTGCACTGGAAAGCTGCTACACTGCTGTCAGTGGAGGGGGCGTCTAAAACTTGACAACACAGTTGCGAGATTTCAGGAAGCACAAGCAGCTCATTCTGGTGCGTGCAGCTCTGCTGGTAATCAGCAGAGGAAGGAATTATGGAGTCACTCCCATTAATGACAGTCCTCACGTTGCAAAGTGACAAGTTTCCCCAAAGTCCTCACGTAAAGAGAAATAGCAACCAGTCTGGCAGGGTTGCCTCACGCTCCTGTGACAGCGGCACGTCTCATTTCCTAGGTGTCTGGCAGGACCGGACTCTGCAGATGCCACTACCTGACATAAAAACAAGTTGAGAACAGGCAAATCCCTTCAGTGACACAAGTCACTTCCACAGGGAAGCCTTTCTGCGTCTGCCTGTCCCAAGGGAACAACCTGTTCTCATGGAGAGAAGGCAGTCACAAATCCTTTGATAAGGTCGAAGCTATTTTAAAAACAAACCACCGGTTAGATGTGTGCCCTAGAAAGCATCCCTTTAATTAGACTTGGGGGGAATTTGTGGCTGCGAGGAAGCACTCACCGCAGCCTGTTCCACCCACAACAGCCCAAAGTGCTGTGCTCAGGGTGACGTGGCTGCCTGTCACCCCAGGCTGCACACTCAGGCTTGCTCAGATAAGCTGGGAGAGCGTGGTTGTAAACAGCAGCGCGCGTGCATTCTTTCCACGCCACTGGATGGTATTTATAGGGCTGAATGCAGGAAGCTCAGGAAGGGGTGAAGGGCAGCCATCTGCAACCGTGACCCAGCTCCAAGGGCAGCAGGGCAAGAGCCCAGCTCCACCCTCGCTCATTGTACAACTCAACCAGCAAGCTCAATAAAACATCTTTATTCTGTACATTTATATATAGATGCTTGGGGAACAGGGACAAACTCCAGCATTAGAAAAATTCAAGACAACAAAACAGCAATTATGAAGAGCATGGCACCAAGAACAGTCATGCCACAGATGGCAGGGATGAGGTGAGACCAGCCATCAGTTATATCAGAGAAGGTCACAGCACCCCCTGCCCATTTTGGGGCAGAAAACACCAGGGCTGCTGCAAACAGCTGGAGTCCCCCCACCCACCCCCGAGGCAGCTTTCTTTGTGACCCACTAGCACCAAAGGGAAGAGCCTGCTGGCAGCTGGGTCTGTCCTTCTTGCAGGCATGGGTGAAAGACCATGTCAGCGTAACACCCAGACCACTGCCAGGACGGGAAGAAAGAAGGATCCTGCTCGAGCAGTGACCCTTAGCCAGCAGCTGCTTTCTCACTGCTGGGCTGATGGGGAAGAAGCAGATTTTCAGCTAGGACAGTGCTCCCCACAAGGGACAGGTCACTCCTGTCACTACTGAGCTGCCGCTGAATCCCTTCATTGATACCACCATTTCACCGGCTTCCCCACACCTCAGCATCCTCTTCGCAGGGTGCAGCTACCACCTCCCCACCTGCTAGAGCCCAGCCCAGCGAAGAGTGCCACTCTGCGACACCCACTGCTCAGCCCTGCAGGCACTGCCTGTGCCAGCAGCCCAGAAGCAGAACTTGTTCTCAGGATGGTAGAAGGGCTGTTTGGGCATCCAAGTGCTATCACAGGCCCTTGCCCTTCTCTTCAGTCAAGCCTGTCAGGCCACCATGCCATGCAACGGGGCTGGCTGAAGGCCTGTTGCTCACAACCGACACATTTGGCCTAACAGTCAACAATAAACCCAAAAGCCTATGTACAGCTATACAGCCCCTGCTGCACCCTCCAGGCTACAAGTGACCTGGCGTGACGGTCACACACGGGAGCTGCACGACAGTGAGTGGGAGACAAACGTGCTCCACACTGTGCACAGAGTCCTTGCTGGCAACACCAGCTTTCCTCTGACAACAAACCCCAGTGGCAAGGGAAAGAAAAGAATTCTTCCTCCAGGAGGAACAGAAATTAAAATCACGCCACTGTCAAATCACATCTAAACAACAGAAGTCACCTGGTTCTGTGTTAGTAACACAGACTGTCCTCCTCACACACAAGGCAAACATGTGAGGAGCAAGCTGGGCTGGGCCCTGGGACAGCCACACCAGGGAGCCCAACTGCAAACCACTGCTGCCGACACGCAGGTGACATCTGCAGCCAAACATCCATGGAAACAACCTGCACATGCCAGCACAGGCCCAGGTCCCACTCCGCTCCGCAGAACGGCCTCCTGCCCAGCTGTTGCAAGGAACAGATGGAAGTGCAAACTCTGCCTTCATGCCATTACCTCAGGAGGCTGTGCCACTCGGAGCAGCCACAGCTTCCCGGGAGTCAGAAAGCGGGATGCTGAAAGGAGTGTGTACACGTGAGTGGGGAACAGGACATTTGTCCAACAGTAAGACACTCAGATTGGAGTAATGCAAAACTAACACACAAATGGACACGTAGCAGATTAAAGCCAACCAAGATTAAAATGGTTAAAAAGTGTCCCGGATGCATTCTGAGAGGTTCAACCAAGCCCCTGCTGTGGGTAGCAGGGCCTCTCGCATCCCCTGCCCGGAAGGATGTGCTGCAGGATGACTCAAGAGAGGATTGTTATCAACCCAGTGCTCAGAGAGCAGAAATGGGACCAGATCTTGTGTCAGAGATGGAAAAACATCCCTTCACTGCTAGTCTTCAAGGGTTCTGCTCCTCCCAACCAGTAATTTTCAAACAGTAAACAAAGCCAGAACTTGCCTGCCCAGGTCTGCAGGTGCCTCTGATCTATTCTGAAGGAGGGCAGGGTAACAAAAGCTGCAGGCAATGTGGAGAACACGCTTAACTTGCCCCATGTACGGCACTGAATGCGAGAAACTCTCCCAGGCTCCATCTCACAGTGCGGAGGAGGGACACCCACACCAGAATGGGGCAGCAGCAGCTCCAGGTATCACCCAGAGAGCCATGCGAGCTTCCATCCTTCTCCCCGGCTGTTGGTGACTGGAGATCTCTCTGACCTAGTGGTAGTCAGAAGCTCAGCTGTCCAGGCCCCAGGGACTCCTCCAAGCCGTTTTCTTTGGTGGTGATGGCTTGGAGGTCAGTGACATGCCCAATGCCTTTGGTGACTCCTTCACGGAAAAGCAGCTTGGCTCCGATCTTCAAGTATTCAGGATGCTTGATGAACCTGAAACGGACGACTGCCTTCTCTCCTGTCCGCAGCTTGTCCTGAAAAGAAAAAGGGGAGAGCTTAGATACATCTACCATACCAACGTGTACAGAAGAGGTGCATGTGGATGCTAAGAAGATGAGGTAAATGAGCAGAATGCCTCCCTCAGACTGCATGGCTTGAGCCCTTCATTGTATGCATAAGGGGAAACAGGAAGACACAAGCTCTGGATAATGGAGAGTTCGCCATCCTGCACAGTCTTGCTGTAGTCCATCATGCTGCTTGTTTGTGAGGAGGGAATTCTTTAACATGTTTGGAGGAAAAGCAACTAAATGGGCAGGATAAAGGGGTGGAGTGTCCTCTTAGAAAGGGACACAGCTACTCAAGATACAAGTAGCCGCAGCCCCTAGCTTTAATAGAGGGCGTGGTGGAATCCAAACAAACCCTACAGTGAGGTCCATCTTCCTCCTCTTTCCTCCCATGCCTACCTTTCCGTGGATCTTCTCTACGATAGCAGTCTGTCGCACATTCCCCACGTGTACCGTCACTTGAAATCCCTTCCGGAAAGTCGTGGCATGGAACAACAGCACGATCTCAGCTTCAAACACTGAGCAGATGGTGGGGTTCATTTCTGGGCTCACCATGACCATGCCCTGCACAACAACCCAAAGCTCAGACCAGTTAGGGACAGTCCCATGCTTCTGAACAGCCCCCAAGACCACAAACACATCTCCACTCTGTGACCTGGTCTTGCATCCCATTCTCAGCCTTGTACTCATCCTACTTTGTAGCCTGACTACTTCCTCCCCTTCCAGCAAGTTTCCTTTCCTCAACTTCATTCCCACCCTACCAATGGGGGATCTCCAGAGAAGCCTCTAGTCCTGCTTATTGAACCAGTGAGCAACCTGGCAACAGCGGGACTCACCTTCCGCAGCAGGGAGCGGTCAAAGGGTCCAAGGGCCAGCGTGGCTGCCTGCCCAGCTCGCAGCACGCGGCAGGCAGAGCGGTTGCGTTGGATACTGCACACTTTCAGCCGGAGGAACTTCCCGTCATCGGTGGGACCAACCACCAGGTTCTCCCCTTCTCGGCAGATCCCACTGCCCGTGGCAGAAGAGCAGGACAGAGTTCATCAGGAGACAAGGAATAAATTTCACCCTCCAAGATCAACCTGCACGAACTCCCCAGGGCCAAGGAGGTGAGTGTCCTTGGACTCTTACTCAGGATCAGCTAACAGGGATGCAAAGCTGGTGGGAACAGGGATTTCCTACATTAGGAGCAAAAGCCATACTATCACTCCTAAGAATAACGAATATCCCTCAGATGGGGGCCATTCCGTCCCTAGTGCTCTGCCACACCGCATTGTTTCTGCTGGACAGACTGCAGTTGACGCCTGTCCTGTGTGGATGTGCTGGTAGCCAAACTGCTCTGATCAGTCCCAAACACTGAGGGACAGCTGCCTTCTCACAGGGCAACATGCAATTAAGCTCTGCTGGGATGGGAGGACTTGCCCTCTACATTTCCTCCCCCTGCCTGAGATCTTGTGCAACACATGTGTTGGGATCACAGCTAACCTCTATCAACTCTGGGTGCCAGCATGCATTCCTTCAGCACGCTACAGGTCACATTCCTAATCCAGCAACTTTAGAGCAGACTCTCTGATGGCCACCACATGTCTGCTCATGACACCTTCCCGTATGCTGTAGAGCTTTACCCTCGCTTGGCTCAGTCATCTGATAGCAGTCAGGACTGAGCCTCACGCTGCTTCCACCTGCAGTGGGTGACTCTAACCTCGTGGGAACTCCAGCAACCGTTCACACCCACTCGTCTGCCTGGCCTCACTTACCTTGACAGAGTTCCTCCCACAACAGTCCCCACTTCTGGCACAGTATAAATTTCATCGACCTGCAGCAAGGCAACAAGAACAAACTGCTCAGACACAGCACTCCAGAATGAGAACAAGGTGTCCGCCCCTTGTGTGGAGGGAGGTGAGCTTTCTGCTGCTCATCAGCTCCCACTACCTTCCCCTCTGCCTTCTAAGTGGCAACCACAGAAACAATCTTACCTCTAAGCTGGGCATGCCTTGGTTAGGGCAGAGCCCAGCCTGACAGGCTTTTTTTGAGGAGCAAGTCCTTTCTTTACTCTAATGTCTCCTGAGAGTCCAGGAGTTCACCACTTCTCTCCACACAGTGTCCAGAGCCCTCAGATGTTTGTTACATGTCACAGCAATGAGTGCAGTACCAGAACTGGAAACAAACTACCCTTACACACCTGAAACTCTGTGAGTTGCTGCATTAGTTCTTCCTGCTCTTTACTGTTGGTCAGTGGAGGGAGGATGTTGAGGAAGACTTTTAAGAGGTCCAGGTTCTCCCCAGAAACGCTGGACAGTGTGAAGATTGGGGTGATGCTGTCAGACACAAACAGACAGGAATAAGCAGAAGGCAAGAGCACAGCTGCGGAAGGCGACTGCGATTCTGAATCTACTGAGTCCAGCAAGAAGACAGAGACTACAGCAATAAATGGCCAGAGCAGGAGGCCACACGGGCTAGGTACAACTCTGCAGTAACCTCTGCATCAATGGTTGGTTGAGGCACTAATCCCCTGCCAACCCATGTTTCAGTCATGGAAAAGTAATTCCAGTGCAGCCTCGGGCACCTTCTGCTCCCAGAACCCAGAAAAAGGTCTGGGAGGGGAAAATGCCTTCTTGGAGAATGCAAAGATAGGAAACTTGATGAGGAGCCAAGATGTTCATGATGTGGTCACCTCCCGCGCGGTCACCCTTCCCCAGCTCTGCACAGTGGCCCAGTCTGAATTGCCTGCTCCCAGCAGAAGAAAGAAATTGCCCCTTACTTGGGAGACTGTGCAAACTGCTGTGCTGCCGTAACAGCATCGTCATCTGAGTTCACAAGCAGGGGAAGCTTGTTGCAGCCTGGCTGCTTCAGGATTCGCTCCAGCTGCTTCACTGTCCGTTCCACCGTCGCTTTTGAACACAAGTCAACTTTGCTGATGACAATGAAGAAGGGGACCTTGAGGGCCATGGCCAAGCCCAAGTGCTCTCGCGTTGTGCCTGCTGCAGGAGACAAGGGAGAGTGTAGGTGCAGTAGCAGTCACCACTGTTGCTTGTTTATGGGACAGCTGTGTCTCCTGACTCTCCCACAGGCCCACTCTAGAGATTTCACCCTAACTGCTTAGTTCATCAGGCACTGAAAAAGCAAAATTATTATTTTAAACAAAACCAAACATCAGTCCAGAAAAAATAAAAACACCAAGAATTTTTGTGACTGATCTGTTTGCTTCAGAAAGATGCAGTAGTTTTCATTCTTGGGCTAGAGTTTGCCAGAAAACAGTCACAAAAATGTTAAGGAAAGATGTGGGAGAACTCCAGCTGCCCTTTTACAAGGCTTCAGGATTCAAAACATGTCAAAGTTTTTGTGGTTTTGTTTTTTTTTTTTCTGACAAACACAGACTCAAATTCCAAACAAAGAGTCTCTGTCTGGGGTACAGTTTAATGCGGTCTACAGCTGGTAAGAGGATCCCAGCTCTGCTCCCCTCCCAGGCTCTCATAGGCACCAGCTTATAAGAAATCAATAGAGGCTTCCAGACTAATATTTTTTTCTGACAACCTTTCCCAGCTAAAAAGGACCCACTCCCCCCCATTCTTCATTTCTCTTCACACATTGCTGTCAGTCCGTGCAGGCAGGGCAACACTCACCAATGCCAGTGTTGGCACTAACCACCAGCATAGCAAAGTCCGGGCAGTAGCTGGTGAGGCCAAAGATGGTTGTTTTCAGATACTTGTGGTGGCCAGCCAGGTCAATGAAAGTGATCATTTTGGAAGAACTCTCACAGATCTCTTCTGCTGTTCGGGAGTCACTGTAATTTACCACCTGAAGAACATAAGGAATCACTAAGAGAAGGACCCCCAGCAGGCAAGTGAGGAAAACCCAGCTCTTATCTATCCACTTTGACCTCAGAATTAGTGCGATCATTCACCATAGGTGCAAGAAACAATGTCTGTTGAAAATGGACAGGTAGCACTCAGGTTCAGCTAAAGGGACACAGAACTGTGCCTGCTCACATTTGTAACAGGACGGTAGTCCTATGTTCCTACAGCTTTCTGAGTTCAGCAGCCCACTCTCTCACCTCTCCTTTGCTGTTGAAGCCGAGGATCTCAAAGCTGATGCTCGACGTTCTTCCTGACTGTATTTCATGGAGATGCCGGAAGAGGTTGAGGCGTGCTCTGCCCCGCCCGTTGTCTAGCTCTCCTTGTGTTAGGACACCCAACAGGGTTGACTTCCCTGAGTCCACATTCCCCAGCACAGCTACTCGCAGGTCTAAGAACTACAGGAAGAAGAACAGAGAAATCATGAAACTCAAGCACTGCTGTGCTGGGTGTGCGTGAACACTACATGGCAGTGGAGAAGTGCCTCAGAGAGCTTCCCTCCACAATGGACACTGTGCAGTGTAATCTCGCTCAGATTCTGCTCTTGCTCCCAGCAAACCGTTGCCCAGGAGTTGTGATACACTCTCTAGAGTTGTGATGTGACACATCAGGCTTTGATATTACAAAAAAGGACATTTGCTGCAGCAGGACCTCTAAATCCTTCCTTCTTTGCACACTGGCCTGCATCCGAACTGTTGCTATAGAAGTGAAATGATTTCTCACCTCTGATCCAGGCAATCTCCCCTACTGGTATCTGCCTCAACCACAATCTTGCAGATGAAAAGCGTTATCGTCAAGCCTCCTTCTGGCAGCTCTTTATCTGTTATGGGCCAACCCATGACAAAGTGCCTCTAAGGGTTTGCGCTCCCATCCCACAAGGAAGCTGCTTCTATGAAGCCTCTAAGTCTCCAGCGGGAGAGGACAGCCAAGTCGCAGGTCCCTACCTGCTGGTTGTCAGGCACCTTTCGGACAAGCACCTCCGTTATCTTCCTTGGAACGTCACTGTCGTAATCGACCTCCCTCTCCCGCAGTACTGTAATGTCAGCCCCAACCCTGCAACAAACATGAAAGGAAGGAGTGAGACACACACTTGTACTCAGCAGCTCTTGCACCTCTAGAATCACAGCTAGCAAAGTGGATGGGATGAAAGCTGGGAACAGAAAGAAAGGAACCTCAAGCTTCCAGCCAAAAGCCTTTGTATTTTCAGAGCCTCATGATGAGGGAATTTCAGTCATACAAGGGCTTTGTAGAATGGAGCCACCAGCTCCTCAGGGGACTCCTGGGGCCAAGCCTCTCTACTGGAGGCTGTTCATGCCTGTGGGTCCTGCAGATGAAAGGGAACGCATACTTCTCTGCCATACGGCGCAGTGTCTTGAGTGAAGCACGCATCTCCTCCTCCGAAAGGCCCACCAGCAGCCCATTGTCCTCCACGCCAATCTGATAGACAGCCTCACCACGGCCTTCCTGTAGTCGCCACTTCATCTGTGTCACCAGGTGCTCAAAGCGATATTGCGAGGGATTCACTAGCTTTAGCTGTTTAATGGAGGGGGTAGTTACAGTCGCAGCCTGGATGCAGAGGGAATCCCACTGCCCAAGCTAGCAACTCCCTAACCCAACACCATGAAGCAACGCCCCCAACTCTGACCCACCTCTAGAAAACACAGCCCATGTTAGTGTCTGCACAGAAGCCACAGGACAGGTGAGAAAGGATTTCACAAAAATGCATACGTATGGTAGAAGAACTTCCTGCATCTTGCCAAAGGGATCTGTAGCCTCCCTGCTGTGGGCGTAAAGACAGCACTGTGGGACCTATCTGTGACACGGCAGCCAAGTAAGTGCAAATGGCAGAACAGCCACAAGAAAGTGACAAATTATTATCTCCCTCAAAAGGAAGATCTCAGGAAAAACACAGTGGGTCTCATCTCCTAAAACAGATTCCTAAAATTGAGTACAGAGATCAAACTCTTCCAGTTCAGCACAGAGACACAGAAGATGACTGACAGATCCTTAGTACAGCGTCTACTTTTCTGTCCCTTCCTTGGACATGTTCCCCATGTGCTGTCTTTGGTGAACTTACTCGCTGCAAAATAACCCTCTGGGAGGAAGACCTTCTGCAACCTCAAAAGGCTCACCTTGTACTCGATGTTTCCATCTTCTGCCTGGTCAGAGAATGAAACAAGACAGAAAGGTTAGATGCTGTGCCAGCAGGGACTTCTATAGGCATCAGTTGCCCAGATACTCTGCAGCTCATGCTGATAATTTCAGAGGGGGAAATTGGCAGAAACATACTTTGTTCGGTCACAGACTCTTCTGCCATTCATTCCTACATTCAACTGGAACTTACTTTAGGTTTGTTTCTGCTTTTTGCATCCCACATCATGAAAACCAGAGGACAAAGCTAGAAAGGGACACAGTGGGTAATACTGTTTTGGGGGGATTTTGTTTTTACTGCCAGTAAGAATAGGGACAGTTTAACAGTCACAGTGAGAGTTCCAGTTTCAAAAAGGCACAGGCCAGCAGGTGATTAAAAGTCTCCTCCCTCACCCATCCATGACCCAAAATGCCACCCACAGCATCCCACTCCCACCCTGTCCAGCAGCTTCTATTCACCCAATGAGCACAAAAACAGGGGAGTGGAACAAAAGTTGCTGCCTCCTCTCCTGCGCACTGATACTCTCTCTCACTCTATTAGTTTTTCATTGACTTCCTTTCACATCATTGTGTTTCTTCCCTCTGCAAAAGAGAAGAACTACAGACACAAGGAAGCAAGCTACTGACTTCTCTGCAGTACAGCAAGCTGGTCACTGGCCTGGCAGTTCTGGAGAACCAGACCTGATTAGGACTGCCTGTACTACACAACGTGCTCAGAAGAACTCTCCCAGGAAGGGCTGCAGCCAAACTGGGTTGTCACAGAAAGGCCCATGTACTCATCAAGCTCACTCCAACCACAACAGGCTCCAGCTTTCCAAAGAGAACATATAGCTAATATTGAAGTAGCTTTCCCCCTGATTTGGTCTAAGGACCACTGAGAAAGGGCTGGAGCCTGCAGGAAGTCAAGTACTCTGGCAGACTAAATGGCGCTGCCAACACTAAGCACTTCCTTTTCCTCTGGACACCGATTTACAGGTCAGGAGAGGCAATAGCCCTCTCCTTGCCTTCAAGCTCAATTCCTAACCACAGCAGTGCTTATGGTGGCAAAAGGCCATCAGAAGGAAGTTCTGAATTGTCAGCTCAGCTCTTGGGCAGCAGAGCTATGCAGTGAGAAAAGGCTACTTGCAGGAAGTTTTCCTCTCTTACCATCTACCAGCTTTCCAGCTCTAAGAAAAACACATTCACATACTGAGGTGTCATCTAAATAAGGGGGTGGGTTTCTTTCAAGGCAGCTGAGACTGAAAAAGCAACAAGCCTAGACTTGCTGGGCCACATACTGCACAGGGTAGCCAGGGACAGGAAGCTGTGCTGAAACCACAGGGGACTGTCCAGCCTCCAGCTGAAAGAAACAAAAACTAAACTGCGGCTGCAGGAAACAATCCTGCCCGTGGATAAGATCTAACAGTAGCAAAGTGCTGTTTTCCCTTCTTGCCAAGAGTGACAGCCCTGCCTTGTGGAGGAATTGCTCCCTCCCAGCACAGGCTCTTATATTTTACAGAAAGCTCACTGAGTGGGGCCAAGCAATCGACTCTGGGGCAATGTAACGCTCCCCACAGCGGCAGTCCTATTAGTGCGGTGCCAACTGCCTGAATTAACCAACACACCCACTTACTACCAATGCCATTTTTTTCCTGCTGCAAGAGGCAAGTGCCTCACACTCTGTCAGTACTGTCTGCATCTCCATGTAAGAAAGCAGTTGCCAAATTAGCTGGGAAGGGAGTCGCTAGAACCTGCTGAGCAGTGTCTATGACTTTGGCTGCTGGAAAGGGACTTTCACCCACCAGATCGGCTCTCGGGGAAGAGATGCGAACAGGATGCTCGGGACTACAAGTTGAGCAAAGCTTTATTTCTGAAGCTATTTAGTTCCCAGATGGCAAAGCACCCGCAGACAGACACCAGGCATTGAGATACTACCAAGGGACAGGGTTTGGTGGATGGCACAGGGACCTCGCTAGGACTAGGGGCACAAGCACTGCACACTGCCACATCAAACCCCGGAGCAGACGCCGGGGCCGGTGGGCGCACCACTCCCGGGGCCGGGGCTGCAGGGCCGCCCGACAGCTTCCCCCCCAAACCCCGGCGCGACCCCGCACCAACACCGGCGGGGACCCTCGGCCCAGTCTCCAGAAAGTGCCTCCAGCCCGACCCGCGACCAGT